TCCTATCTGTACCAGTGTACATCCTCTGGTCTAGCCAGACTTGCAAGGTAGAGTTCAGATCATGATAGTGGGAGTGGGGGGGAGGAGCACAACGTGTGGTTTATCTACTCAAAGTGGTAGATACTTTTCTGGGAGAGTTGAGATAAAGAAATGATTGAAGCAAAGGTTTCTTGTGAACATGTCTAACAGCATGAGTAAATGGTTGAGATAAAATAATTAGACATTCTCACTGATTGAATATAATTAATGCCCCAGGTCAGTTAGGTCTTAGAATTACTATTGCAGTTTTTATACTTTTCACAACCTTAAGATTTGTCTGTTACTACTTTAGATTGGCTCTTAATGTTTTTTCCTACAACAAAGTTTTTAACATCTTGATATAATTATTAACATCTTGAAGTAGATACCTATAGCTAATAGACTGTAGGCAGCCTTATGAACAACTTAGGTTCCCATTAATGATAATAGCTTTTTAAATGAATAATCTTTATTCCTACTCATCATTTAAAATCTTGCCTTTAGGATTCTGTTCTGGATTTTGACAAACCTTCAAGTGCAATTCCGTTGTCACAGCCGCCTTCAGCTCCTCCAAGTAGCTTAATAGGTATGTCATCATTCTGAAGGCTTGGAACAAACAACCTTAGGTCTGGTCGTTGTTTCTTTCACAAACCATGCCTACTCCTGGCATTTTCAGGGTGGAGCTGTGTCTCTGTTAATTCAGTCTAAACATATCCATTGTTATCAGCATTACATTATAAGTAAATTGCCATTAGGAGATTATTTAACTTGGATGACCTTGTGAGGTTTTTTCCCCTGGGGGGGGGTAAAAAATATATCTATGTATATGTATATATATATGTATATATGTATATATATGTATATATTAGTTCAAAGTGAATCAACACCAATATGCCATACATTCTTATTTTGGTACTTACCAAAAGAATCACCTGTAAAACCTGCTTTCTGTGACAAAGTACAGAAGACTTGGTCACATTTAACTCACTGAGAACCAGAGCAGTGGTTCTTAACCTTCCTAATGCCGCGACCCTTTAAAACAGTTCCTTATATTGTGGTGACCCCCTAACCATAAAATTATCTTCGTTGCTACTTCATAACTGTAATTTTGCTACTGTTATGAATCGTCATGTAAATATCTGATAGGCAGGATGTATTTTCATTGTTACAAATTGAACATAATTAAAGCATAGTGATTAATCACAAAAACAATATGTAATTATATATTGTGAAATATTTATTTCTAATTACAAATAAATGAAATTTTGTCTTGAAGCATGGTGTAGTATGGGTTACGGTCTTAATATAACAACAGTAAACTATACATCACTACATTTTGCGACAGTGTGCGTAAAAGTCAGCGTCAAGTACAAAGGTTGAGATAGCTTCTTTCTCACCAGATCAGAAATTCTCTGAAGATCATCTTCCACAACAGGTCTACTTCTGTATTTAGACTTGATAACCAACAAGTTGGAAAACCCTGTTTCACAAAGATATGTTGTTGGAAATGGAAGAAGAAGGCACAACACAATCTCAGACAGAACAGGATATGACTGCAAACACTTGATCCAGAACTTTGTAACTGGCATTGTAGAGAAATCAGTTCTGGCTTCATCGGTGTTAATAAGTTCAGTTAACCCCTCTTGTGCTGTCTCAGGAACATCTTCAACTTTGACTGTGAATGGGCAAGTGCAAATGGGGTGTCAGGTAGATTTGGAAAGTACGATGAAATTTCACCTGCAAGCATTTGCAAGTGTGCCTTCACAGAAATTATCATAATACTGTTGTCTGGTTCAATGTTATGTTCCTCAAAAAAAGCATGTGGGGGTAACCAGCCTCTCACGCTATCACGGGTCCAGAAAGCGCAATTGTATGGTTAAAATATATAAAGATTATAGTTAAGTCATAGAGAACAATAGAGGTAGGAGAGACAGAGTAAAACAAAGAAGTCAGACACATTTCATGATAATGCTCACCTCATCCCTTCCTGTTGGTCCATGTGGGGATATGGGAGGAGAGGAGGGCAAAAGAGAGCAATTTATTTCTAACCAAGGCGTATATATCCTTTGGGGGCATGTAAGCCCCCTGATTACAGATAAAGACATAAGTAACAGGAAGGGGTTGTACTATAAGTAATACAGTAATGGAAGGGGGACCACCTAGAGGTGTACATGCTATAGGAAGAGGAGGGATTATGGATAAATGTGACAAGCTGTATGGACCCAAGATTCAATATGGAAGCCTAACCTTGGTCACCCTTGTATGGTCTTGACATCCCTGGACTCTCCTTTAGGGAAACAATCTACTACTATCCTTATCAGAAGGAAGTGGGCCCTACTTAGAGTGGGACGGACTATACAGTCTGATTGCTCTAGATGACTTATAACCCCTAGGGAGCGTAACCTCTGACTTGCTTTCGTTGACCTCCAAGTGTATAATTGTTTGCCATGTTTAGCAAGCAGCTAGGTTTGGCATATATTTAGTGGAGACAACCTGGGAGAAATCCCACAATAAAATAAAATTTTATTTTTCTCAATTTTTTTTTGTTTGCCAAAGCTGAAGTTTCATTTAGAATGATCAGATCTTTTCAGACAAATTGAGGCATGTTGCATTTAGTCCTTGCAATGATCAGTTTAACTCATTCAAGATGGCAACGATGCCAACCAAGCTTATTTTCTGCAGTTTACTTTTATCACTGAAAAGTGCTTTGAACTGCCGTCTTGCTTTCTGGCATTTTGAGTTCATCACGAAGCTCAAAAACTCATTTTTAAACTTTTCCTCTTGACAACCATCTCACTTCAGTGTGAAATAGCAGAGCATTATTTGGCGCATCCAATTCGTTGCACACTTGCGAAGATAGTCGACTGTTTAAAGTACTCGCCTTTACAAAATTGACAGAACTTATGACACTTTTCATTACTTATGGTAACTTGTGGCAGTGTCTTTGTTGTTAATATTTGCCGATGAATCATACAGTGAGTTCCGATGACATTTGGTGACTCATTCAGTACCAAACAGTGAAATCCACATTGACATCCTGGCATAGCTGGAGGACCATCTGTGCAAACACCACAGACCTTTTCCTAAGAGATCTTATGCTCTTTCAGAAATGAACCAACTGTCAAATACATCACACGCAGTAGTTGTCTTTCCAAGATATTTGGAAAAAGAAACTCGTCTTTAAAGTCACCATCATTAATATACGTCACGTAAACCGTAACTGTGAATACTTTGCAACATCTGTAGATTCATCAAGCTGGATGCTAAATAATGGAAGTAGAGCAGATTTAATATCCTAGATGACCTGATCAAGAATATCAGCAGGCATGTCATCTGTTCTTCTATAGACAGTGTCATTAGATAAGGAAATTGCACTCAATTTTGTCTCTGATCAGAACTCAAACAATGTCTTTGGCCGCTGGCAACAGCAAATCCTCAGCAATGGTGTGCGGTGTCATAGCTCTGGCGATTCTGAGTGCCACCAAATATGAAGCCTCGATGGCTGCTACGTTTTGTTTGTGGTACTTGCCACCAGTGTTAAGCCTGGCTTTCTTGAGTTCATCCGCTTTGCTTCTAAAATAGTTGGTATCCTTGCCGGCAAAGCTTGGATGTTTGCTATCAAAATAGTGTTTTAGTTTGTTCGGCTTCATAGATTTGGCTGATTGAACTTCACAACAAATAACACATTGTGGTTTCTCAATTCCTGCTGTGATTATTGAGGTAAAATCATACTGTGAAAAATCCTCACTATATTTTCTTAATGTTCTTCTGTACACGATCCATTGTCATCATAGGATGGTTTACTGATGAAAATAATATATAACAATAGCTTTAATAATACAAAAGATGATACATGGCGTATGGTTCAGTCAATACAGTTCATTTAAGTTTCCTATGATTTACCAGTCTGTGTGTTTTTTTTGCATACCTGTTACTATCACAAGGGGGCAGTATTCACATCAATCACAGCTGAATTTCAAAAGACCGCTATCAGCATCCAGATTATGTTCCTATGGTACAGATATATATATATTTTGTAGTAGTGGATGATTTTACAGAACATGATTTTACATTTACCCAGTAATTATAATTCATGAAGTGTCGTTTTACCTCCAATATTGCTGCTTTCAACACAGTAGCTGCTTTCTACACAGTAGCTGCTCTCTACACATGTGTGACTGGTCTGCATAAGTACATTATGGCGCCAACCCTGTCACATAGACCTGTCTTTGTATGGGGTGTATGTGATGGGGTTGGCATGATGATGGCATCACGCTGGGTACTCATATGTGGGCATATCTGCATGTGGGCAGACCCGCCTGGAGATGGGTAGAAGAGTGGTGTCTCGGTTCCTAAGACCATCGGAAATATGTGTTTTCCGATGACTTAGATGATCCCTGTGAAAGGGTCGTTCGACTCCCAAAGGGGTCGTGACCCACTAGTTGAGAATCACTGCACTAGAGAGCATTACTATCACAAACTTTAGTAGACATTATATCCATACAATTTTTTCCCAGCCTTTATTGTAATATTGTACAGTGCAATTGCTACATGGCACACTAGGGTAGAAGAGAAGCAAAAGCAAAATCAAAAAGAAAGCCACAGTCTAAAACTGTTATTTATCAATTCAAATGTAGTAATCAAATCCATATCATTGGGTTTATTAAAACAAAACCTCCTACACTTTGCAGTGTATGATTTAACTTTTAACACAAAATTTAAAATTAGGAAATTTTAAAAATGAAAACAATTTTGCTATTACAGTAGCATCTTTAATTAAACACCTTGAAGGGAAAACAAACTGAATATAAAGATATTTTATGTAAAATAAGTAATATAGTTTGCAAGTATGCAAATGGGAAGTCATACATTGTTTTATTTTAAAAAGCTGTTAAAACCAAGATAACTGGTCAAAACGTTTTTGTTATTTTATTTTTTTTGCCTGGTTTTTTTTTTTTATCATTAGGGGCTCATACAACTCTTATCACAATCCATACATACATCAAATGTGTAAAGCACTCTTTTTTAATGTAAAGAACATTTGTACATTCATTGCCCTCATCTTCAAAAATATTTGCTCTCCACCTAAGCCCCAAAATGGTTTTCAAGACAATATTACCCAGATTTTTTCGGCCTGTAAACTAAATTCAGATTAGAATTTTAAAATTATTTTCTTTTAGATACATAAATTCACGATTATAATAAATTAACAGTGTATTTAACTGAGGTCCATCTTTATCAAACATTGCAATTGTGTTATGAAAATGTTTAATGTTATCATTTATTGTCCATTTAGCAAGGCAATCTCAGTCTTGGAACTTAAAAACAGAAAATAAGACATTTCAGGGAATATGTGACTGTGACCCTGAAAATAAATCAAACTGAGCCAGTTTTGTACTTGCTGTTTCTGAAATATCCACTTTCAGCACTGATTTCATTTCCAAGAAGGGAGCAGATGCCAGCATCTTCTGGGGATGCGTGAAGTTTCTTAGAATCTTTAGATGAGTGAATTGAAATACCTATGAACTGTTTTTGCAGTTGATTACGTTGTGAATTCTGACTAGCCCTTGCTTGACTCCTTTGGACCTTAATTCTTGTATTGAGCCTTGGGATTCTGACCATGAGTGAAATTGCCATGGTGATACAGTGAAGATCTCTGTAACTAATGATGGTACCTAGATTTAAATCTGATGCTTCCAAGTGTAGGCTTTCTGCCCTGCACTACTTTCTCTTGGGAGAGTGACATAATCAAAACTGTGGCTCACCTGGAGGGACAGTCCACTTCTGTGAGATTCATGACCTTGGAAACCCCAGGGGAGCAATTCTGTTCTGTTCTTTGGGTTACTGTGAGGCCACATTGACTTAGTGGCAGGGGGTTTTGGTTTTAGCAAAAGTGATAGACATTGGTAGAGAAAGTCTCACAAAAAATCAGGTCAATGTAAAGCATGCTAATGTGCATAAGTAAAGAGGAAGAAGGAGGATGACATAGCTAGCCGTACCTTGAAAGTTGTATTAAGTGTATAATTTGATTGCTTTTCATGAGGGGCAGGTTTTATCTTCCAGAATCTGCCACTACTCACTTTTAAAAGTCAGGAATTGAAGTGCTGCTTTTGCCCACTTTACCATAGGACATCCCTTGGTGTTACAGTTGGAACTGTGCTTTCTCATTCTTCTACAAGCCTTTCTGACTCTTGAAATCTCACTCAAGGTGCATAACACATTTGACACCTACTTCTCCAGCTTAAACTTTTTTTGTATGGTGTAAGTTTTAGCTCCTTCCCTCTCAGTGATTGACTGTTTATTTCACTCTCTGCAGCGTCAACAGAGCAGAATCTACCCAGTCAAAATGATTTCCTCCAAGCACCTTTACAGGTAACATTTTTCATTTAGAGAAGATAATGTTTTTGGTTCATAGAAGATACTCTTGTGGCAAGAAAAATCTGACTTACTGATTCTAATATATCTAGCTAAATTATTAAAGATGTTCTCTTGAGAACTAGTTTTTTAGATTCAAGATGACTGGGCCTAAAAAGATTTCCTGATGACCTATCAGAAGGATAAGCTGACTTCAGTAAGTAAAGTAAGCCTGCACAGTTCATAGGTACGTTGTCTGAAGAAGAATTCAGGCATACCTCCGTTTATCTTGCTTTCCTATATTGTGCTTCGCAGCTACTGCCTTTTTTTTTTTAATGGAAGGTTAGTGGACTCCCTGCCTTGGTCAAGTCTGTTGACACCATTTTTCCAACAGCATCGGTGCTCCCTTTGTGTATGTGTCACATTTTGCTAGTTCTCACAGTATTTCAGATTTTTTCATAATGATGTTGTCCACATAGTAGACTACCATACTGTTTAAACGTAATTTTTTATTATATGTACTGGGAAACCCCCATTTGTGTGATTCCAATTCTTGCGATACCCACTTTATTGCTTTGTCTAGAACTATACTTGCAGTAACTCCCAGTTATACTTCCATGCCTTTGCTGTTGAACTCCCTAAATAATTTTGTGTTATCAGCATTAGT